ACAATCACCTGAAGGCCGGGGTGAGGGGCAACCTGGGCCCCACCTTGCCCCCAGCTTTCCCCAGACGTGGCAGGTCAGCAGGCTACAGTGGGCCGGGGCCTGTATGTTCTCTAGGATGGCCCTGTGCTGTCGGGGGACAAAGTGGTGGGACCGAGACACAGGGCTTCAGGCTGAGCCGGTTGAGGTTAGGAGGGCAGTCTGTAAACTGTAAAGAGCTGTAGGCTCACGGCCAGCAACTGCGCCCACACCCTCAGGTGACCCGGCTGTCACATGGGCTTCGCCCCTGCCCTTCGGTCCCCGGGGAGACTGTCCTGCCCTCGTCACACCAGTGCTCCCAAAGCCCTGACTAGAGGACAGCAGACCCTCTCGGGGCTGAGCAGGGTGGCAGGGGTTCCGGGGGTCTCGCTTTGTGGCCGCTCTGCTGGGCTGGCTCAGTGGGTCGGGTGGTGGGAAGGAAGGGGGTGACTTTGCTGACTGCCCTTCATGGCCATCTCATCAGATCCTCCACCCAGCTCCAAGACAGAGTGTGTCGTCCCAGCTCACGGGGAGGGAAAACTGAGGCAGGCCCCTCTGCTCCTTTCTCCCTGCCTGGAGTCGCAGGCAAGCTCTCAAGGGACAGCAGGGGGCTCAGCCTGGGCTGCACTCTACTTGGGGACACCACTGCTCTTCCTGCAAAGACGCACTCGGATCTCACTGCTTCTCTGAAGCCACCGGGCGCAGCGGCCCCACCCCTTTGTGCTGAGAGGCTGGGGACCCTCCAGGGCCCTCCTTGTCTGCTGGCACCAACGCCAGCCCTGCAGCCCCAGCTCAGGAAGAAGGGCCGGACCTTCCAAGTGGCCCCACTCCCTGCAGACACACGGCTGCCCACAGCTCCCTGAGTCTGCATTTGTTTTCTACACCTTGGGCTCAGCTGGGTCAGTCCCCCTGCCGCTCTAACTCCCCCGCCCTGCAAGTTCTGCGCCCTGCTCCTCCGCCCTGGCAGCCCCTGCTGTGCAGGATGAATCCGAGTCACTCGTGTGTGGTTTCATAACTGCAGGTTAGTATCTCCTACCTGCTGCGCTGGGCACCCCTGTGGGCAGAGCTTCACCCACACCCGGGAGGAGAGCAGTGGGATTTGCACTACGCAGAGAGCTTCTTGCTCCCTGAGGGACCCCAGGGCAGGCTCCAGAGGAGTGGCCAGGGCAAGATGGGCCTCCCAGAACCCAGCACCGCTGCCCCTCCCCTCAGCCAAGAATGAAGACGCCTTCCAGACACAGACACAGACTTCCGGGCCCCTGCCTTAAAAGCACAGCCTCAGAACCGTGGAATCAGAACACTGTGGGGCTTGCAGCTGCAGCTCCGTCGTGTGGAGATCAAACTGTGCTTGAATTCCTCTAGTGATGGGCAGCTCCCTCCTTTTCTTTCCATCTTGGCAGCTAAGTCCTTAGGCTGAGATCTACCCCTGCCTGCTTGGCCTCTGAGGCCACTCCGGAAGTCCCTGAGGTGAGTGGGTGGCACATATAGCCCTTTCCACCAGAGTTGGGCCTTGGAGACAGGTGAGAGCCACGCCTGGCTCCCAGAGATGACCCAGTGACTCAGCTGTCCCTGTGGCTGCCTCGCCTCCCAGAATGTTTGTCACGAAGATGTAATCGATCCTCTGGCCTGGGAACCGGGAGAAGTGGGTGGATTTGCCCAGCCTTGTGGCTTGGGAGGTAGCGGGGATGGAGCGTCCTGACTCAGCAGGCAGGGGCCGCCCCACCCCCGCCAAGTGGGTAAGAAGCTTGTGGCCTTGGCCTTGTCAGCTCAAGGGAGCAGAGAAGGCAGGGAGGGGGCAGCCCACTCAGTGCCCACCAAGCTCGGGCCATTTGGGGTCTGCTGAGGGCCCCAGCGCATCAAGGACCTTTTAGGGTCCTTCAAATGGGACAACCGAGGCCAAGAGGAACACTGTGGAGGCCTCCTCGGACCCAACCTCCTTCCTTCCTTCCTTCCTTCCTTCCTTCCTTCCTTCCTTCCTTTTTTGCTTTTTGTTTTTGTGATGCCGGGAATTGAACTCAGAGCCTTCACACTGAGCTCCATCCCCAGCCCTTTTCTAAAATTTTTAATTTTGAGACAGGTTCTCACAAAGTCGCTCAGCTGGTCTCAGATTTGCAGTCCTCCTGCCTCAGCCTCCCGGCATGCTGGGATTACAGGCATGGGCCACCACACTGGGGCGGAATATTCTGTTGGTCTGTTGGACCCTTGTGAAAGACTCCACACAAACCTCAGGTACCCAAAGCCCTGGCCCTAGGAAGGGTCCAGGAGCAGCATCAAGGCCCCACGGCTGTGGGCTCCCACCTGATGGTTTCCTCCTGGACAAGCACAGCTCAAAGATGGCTGAGGGTCGGGAGCCAGTGCCTTCACCCGGGGCCCAGACCTTGGGCCTGTGGGGCAGGAGTGAGTATTTGCTGAAGGCCAGAGACCGCAGCACTCAGGAGTGAGGTCCCTCCATCCTTCCAGAACCTCCCAGAATATTGTCGGCTGGGAGGCGCTCCCTGAACCTGCTCTCTGCTGCCCGGCACACCAAAGTCCACGCTCATGGTCCTCCATGCTCTTTCCTGTCCTCCCTGCAGGAAGCCATGACTGAGCACCCATTCCACACCAGGCTCCTGTTCCTTCCCTCTTCTGTCCACCTGTCCCCCAACATGGCCAAGGGCTCACTGAGGCAAGACCTGGTCTTGCCCTGAAGCCGCCTTTGGGTGCAGGTGTGCAGGCCAGGGAGGGACCCCTGTGTCTAGAACTTGGAAGGTATCCGGGACTCCAGACCCCAGCCTGTGTCCCCTCCATCTGCCACCTCCTCACAAGGCTGCAGGTCTCCTTTGGTGGCGACAGAATTCCAGCTGCACTCAGAAAGGTACAGACTCAACCAGACAGGAAGTAGAGACCTAGCTAAGAGCCCAAGGACCTAGGCAGGCTCAGTGCCAGGGAAGATGGAGGGGGTCACAGCTGTGCTGCCCAGCTCCCACGGTGGAGGAGGAGGAAAAGGAGGAGGCTTGGAACATTGCTCAGGTGAGGCCCAGGTGAGGCCCAGGTGAGCTCAGCCCTCAGCTCCTCTGACTTCCTGTTTATCTGAGCACTGTTCCCCTCTCCCCCACCCGTCCAGTTCGCCCAGCAGCCCACTTCACATCTCACCTGCTGCAGCCCTGCCTGGTCCTTTTTGCTCTGTCCGTGATGGAGATGTGTCGTCTGTCACCTCCTCTGTCCATGATGGAGATGTGTCGTCTGTCACCTCCTCTCTGAGACCCCACCAAGCCGTTCCCCTTCCTGCTCATTTCTGTGTGGTCTCGGACAAGGTCCCTGTGCCTCAGTTTCCCCACTGAGGCATAGGAGCAGAGCAGAAGGAAAGACCCTAAAGGGCCTGAGTTCAAATCCTGGCTTGGTTTCTCATCAGCTGTGTGAACTTGGACAGCTCCTATTATTCTCTGGGCCTCAGTTTCTCCATCTGTTTCAGGGAATCGGTGCTGACTGACTTGGGAAAGGGCCGTGACCCGGGCTTCACACAGCTGCACGCCACCCGAAACTGGCACTGGAGAGGGCTCTCTGTTCCTCAGAGCTGCAGGTTTCTGGGAACCATTAGCCTGTGTAGGGGCAGAAGCACTCACAGAAACAGGACCCCTGAGACAGCCGAGCCTGTTGAAGATGGTGTCTGCCTCTTCACGGTGGCCTCGGTGAGGGTTGGCATGGGCAGGGCTGCTGTGTGAAAGGCAGATGGGTGGTCACCGTCCCTACTGCTCTGGGCCATCCCAGCTACAGTGTCGCCAGAGCCCACCCGGCGAAGTGCAGGAACCCTGTTGTGCCTCGACGTCCTGCACTGTCCCCAAGGGCAGAGGATGGGCCACCTGGGCAGGCAGCCAGCAGGCACACTAGAGAGGCAGAGAGAGCACGGCTAGAGAGCTGAGGGCATCACAGTGTGGGAACCAGGGCTGGCCTGGGCAGGACTCGGACTAGGGTTGGCTGGACCGTGGGCCAGGTGGGGGGGTGGCGAAGGCTCCCTGCTCCACAGGGCCCCTGAAGGATGTGCAGGCGGCCCCAGGAGGCCGGGCCAGGCTTGAACTGCAGCCAGGCAGTAAGTGCCGTCTAGGCCCTGGGGCCGGGCATCTCAGGCTCCTTCCTCATTCCTGGCCCTGTGGGAGTAGCCGGACCCTGGCGTTCCGCTGCTGTTGCTGCTGCCGCCGCCGCCCCTGGGGATTTGCTCACCGTCTCGTGGGGAACCAAGGCCTGCTGCCAACTGCCCAGCCCTGGCCGGGCCCCATGCATGCCAGCACCAGGGGCCCCGCCGACCACCGAGTCTTGGCCCTGAGCCATCACTGCTCTCAGATGAGGAGACCGAGGCCGCTCATCAGGGAGGGCCAGGAAGGGACTGGGCTGAAGCTCTGAGTCTTGTCTGTCCCTGGGGAAGGGTGTGTCCCCCAAAGGCCCACCTGGAGGTCCCTCTCCTGGGCCTCGGGGCTGAGGCCACGCTCTGTGGGTGCCCAGCTGGGCACCGTGGGGATGGGGCTGTTTGATCAGCAGTTCCGCCCTATGCCAGGCTGCCGGGGACAGCGGGCAGTGGCCAAACCGGCCCCACCGCATGCCTTCTGGCCCTGGGCAGGAATGCTATTCACGAAGCCTTGCACAGTTACTGGTTAAGGGCTGGGCCTGGTGGGGAAGTGGCAGGGCCAGACGGGAGCCCCCAGGACCTCAGACACCCAGGCCTCCCAAGCCCAGACCACAAGTGCTCCTGTCCAGCTCCTGGGCCTCCTGTCCCTGCAGTCTGAGCTGAGCCCCACACGTCCGGGCAGTCTCTGGGGTTGTCCATCCCCGTGACCTTTCCAGGTGCCGAGGGGCCAGTAAGCTCGAGGGAGGCCCAGCTGGGGCCTCAGCGGGCATCTCAGGGCAGGGACAGGAATAAGGGGCCCTTACCCCAGGGAGTGCAGAGGAAGTGAGGAGGGACAGGGTGAGGTTGTCTAGGGGCAACACACACAATCACTACTCCATTTCCAGCTTTTATTGGGACCAAGCTCCCCTCCAGGGGAGGCCAGCAGCACAGCCGTCAGAAATGGGCACTTCTGGGATGCCCGGTGCCCAGCCACCTCCAGCCCTGCACATGGAATGGGTGGCCAGTGCCTGCCTGGGCCATGCTGGCCCCCACGCCTGAGATGGCCCCCTCGAGGGACGGCGGGCTCGGCTGGGTGCTTGGTACCCCAGAGACAGTGCGGGGGCCTCGGTGGCAGCGTCGGCCCCGAGGGTCATTTCAAGCAGAAGGAGGAGCCTGGCTCGGGGGCACGGCCTCGGCCATCCCCACCGTCCCCTCCAGTTCCCAGTGTAGGTCACAATAACTTAAAAGACACTATAGACATCTGGACACTATATAACAGCATAAGTTACCCGGGCTCCTCAGTGGAGGACGCCAGCCTGTGGACTTGGGGTGTCCTGGGACTGGGGTGAGGCAGGGGCCAGGGTAGGGTGGGGCGTTCACAGCGGCCCAGAGGTTGGGGTATCCTGGCATCATCAGACATGTGGACGCAGGGCCAGCACCCAGACAGGGGTCAACTGCCCCAGGCCATCGTTCAAGCCCGCTGGGGGCACACTGGGGACACAGGGAGCAGTGGGCGGGATGGTGGCTTGGAGCCATTTGCTGGCCTTGGGCAGGCCGCACCCTCAGTGCCTGTCTCCTCAGGGACAGAGTGGGAGCCCAGAAAGGATGGCCCAGCCCTGAGTCCTACCTCCTATTCCAACCCCATCTTCAAGGTTTTGGAGGAGGTGACTGGGAGGGGAAAGGTTTGCTCAACTTGGGGTGACGTCTGGAGAGCAGGTGTCCCCAGATGGCAGGTGGGGGCCCTGACAGGTACTCTTAGCCCTGCTTGCCAATTTTCCCAACATTGGGGTCGAGCAGAAGGACCAGGTTGGGGCTCTGAGAACCTCAAAGGCACCGACTGCCAGGGTGTGCAGCCCGAGGCTGTGGCTGGGAAGGGAGCAGCTAGGGCTCTTGGGCAAGGGCCTGCTGGGTATCCTGGGTGGGGACTCAGGCAGAAGCACCACTCACAGCTGAAGGGTCTCTGGGCCTTAGTGCCCCATCTGTCAGGTGGGACCAGCATTTGGGGAGTTCCCCAGCCCAGCCCTGCCATCCTGGGGGTCAGGCTGGCTCCAGGGAGGGAGGACTCTGTAAACTGCAGGTGCCAGGCCAATGGCTGGCCAGGAGCGTGAAGGACTAGGAAGGGGACCGGGCACTCCTGGAACCTGGCACAAGGAACATTTTGACTTCTGTGATATGATTTCCAAAGAGGAAGGGAAGCCAGGCTGTGTTCCAAGGTCCTCTCCTGCTAACCCTGGCACCTGGGACCTGCAGGGGGGCGGAGGGAGAGGCCGAAGAGGGGCATCAGGGGCCGGGTGGACACAAAGTGTGGAGTTAGGACCAGCTACGCATCTGTTAGTGCCAAGAATCCTCTTCTGATGCTAAGAAAACATAAATAACCTTATCAAGCTCCGTCCACACTGCCCTGGGCCCCAGGGGATAGGGCCAGGGAATCAGTGTTGCGTGCGACAGGCCAGCACGGCCTTTCTGTGTCCAGCCACCTGGCAGGGAGGGGACCCTCAGAGTCTGGTCGCAACTCTGTGGTCTGGGACGTGTCGCAGCCTCAGGGTTCACTGCTGGCTCCCCACGGGGACCCCGGCACCGCAGACCTCGGACGCCGGGTGGGCACGGTGCTGCCAGGGAGGTGTCCCTCACTTGCAGGTGAAGACTTCGGTGCGCTCGCTGCAGGTGTTGCACTTGACGTAGCAGCACCAGTGGAACTTGCAGTTGCACTGCCAGACCTTTGTGTACTGGTGCGTGTTGTAGCCGCGGCCGCAGCACATGGTGTCACAGCCGTCGGCCCCCGGCGAGGTGCGGTTGCACAGCCGGCCCTGTGTGCCCACGCTGCCTGTCGCTGCGTCCTCCTCACAGTAGTTGGGCGACTTCTCGATGTACACCAGGTCCGTCTCCATGGGCTTCTGGTAGCTGCGCAGCTGCTTGATGCGCAGGAAGGTGGGCTGCCGCAGGCGGCTGGCCCGCACCACCTCCACTTGCACGGCCGCGTTGTACTTTTCCTTCAGCAGGTGGCCCACCTCGCGGAACTTGGGCAGCGTGGTCCAGCAGGTCTTGGTGGTGCAGGAGCCCGACACGCCGTGACACTTGCACTCCAGCTTCATGCGGTCCTCCAGAACCTGTGGGTGACACCGCTCTGCTCAGTGGGGCGGGGTGGCCGCGCTCCGGGGTCCCCCGCCTCCCCCCAGGATGGCCCCGAAGCAGCTCCTCCTCGTCGGCTGTGTGACCACGAACCAGTGTCTTCCCCTGTGTCAGCCTCAGCCTCTCATCTACGGACAGGCAGCTGGGCTCCCATGCACGGGGCACACAAGCGTCTCGGGGGTCCTCGGGACGCGATGGAGCTCGGTGTGCATTTAGCAACCGTACTCAATGTGATCAAAACATGTGGTGAATGTGTACTTTTAAATGGTTTACTACAATAGAGACACATTGCGCCTGACCCTCTTCAAGGTTCTCCCGCCTGCGCAGACACATTCATCCCGCTGCGCCTGCCTCTCCGAAGCCACTCCGGAGGGCCTCTTTCCCCATGTCTTTATGAGATGCGACGTCAATACCACCCGTCAGCACTGTCGCAGAGGGCCACGCGGGAAAGGCAGGCACGTAAAACACAGGACCTCACCCGCCTTACTCACTTTGTCTGATGCCAAGCAACTTCTGGCTCTTCCCCAAAGTCGAAATGACCACGAAAGGGAAATGTTTTTAATTGATTCAGAACACCAAAGGCAGTCGTGAGCGTGCAACTAGACACTCAGGAAAGAGGACTCCAGAGCTGCTACAGAAAGTGGCAGGGACCATGGTATGAGTGTGCTCAAAGAAAGGGGTCTGTTGAGGAGGATTCGTGGCAAAATATTTCTTTTACTGTCATAAAAATTTTAAAGCTTCTTTGAAGCATTCACAGCTGTGTACAGAGCTCAGCGCTGTGTCAGACAAGAAAACTGAGGCTTGGAAACACTGAGCTTGCTACAGGTCCAGGTCCAGGGCAGCAGGTGGGGCACACAGTGCGGGGGGCAGCACAGCGGGTGCTTGGTACGTGTGGGTGTCCCCTCCCCTCCATCTCTCCCCAGTAGGGCTTAACACACACTCCTTGGACGCGGGTGGGCGGTGGGGCCTGGCCTAGGCCAGGGGGCAGTGAGTGCGTGGGTCAGAGAGGCCCAGGAGGCCTGGATGGCTGGTTGTTGTTCTTTCTCCCCAGCTCCACGAGGGCCCTGGGTGGGTGCAGCCCTGTGTTTTCCTTGGGCCTCCCTGGCGGCCCCGGAAGGACGATTCCCAGAGCCAGCCCTGACCCCAGGTACTCATTTACTCGGATCGAAAGGGCCCTGCCAGCCGGGCCTGATTGAAGATGGGGAATCATTAGCTGCTGCCCCACCACTGCCCAAGGCCCATTTGTCAGCTGTCGGGGCTCCCTGAGCCCAATGCTGCAGGGACTTGGCCCCCTGACCCTGAAGCCAGAACCCAACATCACGGGCACCAGCTGTCTGTCCCCAGCTCTGCCCTGGACATGAAAACCCTGGAAAATGAATGAATGAAAGACAAGAGGGAGAGAAACAACTCACAGAGATGCCACTGGCCCAGCACCATCCCTGGCCTGGCTGCAGGAGACACGTCAGGGAGCCCTGGGCTCACGGCCGTGTGGGAACCATGGAGATGGCCCCACTGTGCAGCAGTGAGTGGTGGCATCTGATGGGGGCTTTCTGGGGGAGGCGATAGTGACAGTGGGTAAGGGTGGATGAATAGCAGCCCAGTAGGCCAAGAAGAGGGAGTTTCTGGAGGGGTCGACATGGGCACGGGCTAGGAGCTATCAGCCACCGAGCTCCCGTGTCCCTGAGCTGTGTGTGCTGGGTGGAACCGAGGCTGGGCCCTGGAGCCATGGATGACTCTGCTCTGAGTACTTGTCCTGGGGCAAGGACTGGGGTATCTGGGGATGAGCGGGAGGAGGCTGACGCCCTAGCAGGGAGAGCTGAGGGTGGAGAGGGAACAGGTTTGGGGGCATCCAAAGTGGATTACAGGCTGGGGGTGGAGCCAAGGGCTTCCTGGTGACAGTGGGCCCCGGCAGAGAGGATTGGACCCCTGCCCTTCCCTCCCTTTCTGCCATCTGTCCCCCTTATCCTGCCTCTCGGCCACATCTCAGCACTCACATCTGACCCCTTCCCCAGAAGCAGCTCCCTGCCCTGGCTGCCTGCATTCTGGGGACTTCCTCTCTGACCAGGCCACACGGCTGGTCAGGAGTGACCCTCAGGACAATGATGCCCCAGGAGCGGGCCAGACTGGGCCCCTTGGAGTCTGCTCCACCCAGGCTGCCGGGATCTGGAGGGGCATCCAGGCTGGTCAGCCCCAGCTTCTACTTGGTATCCCCACCATGGCCCGCTGAACACCAGCCACCCCTGACCTCGCTCTCCTGACCTTCCATCCTCCCACACCCGGCCCCATCTCCTGGTTCCCACCAAGTCCAGGCAGCCAGCCTGTGCCCTCCCTCCTGCCTGCCTGGGGATGGCCAGACCACTGCAGCCCACCAGTGGCCACAGCAGATGAAGACGATTGGGCAGGTGGTTGCGAGCAGGACCCGAATCCTCACTTGGCTGGGTGCCAGGCCGGAGCCTCACAGAGAAGTGATCACAGGGCTCAAGAATGCGCCGTTTCCTTCTCCAGCACCCTCACCATCACAGTGACAGTGGCGCCAAGGGCAGCAGGCACCTCAGGGCACTGAGACAGCCCTTGTGCCCTAGAGACCATGAGGAGCTGGGGGCTTATGCAGGGCCCCTTCACCAACCGAGTTCCCTTGCTATGGGGTCGGATCAGGGATTCTGGGCTACAGAGTCGATGCCTTGCTGTTCCTAGAATGAGCGTGCGGCCTGGGTTAGGAGCAGGGCTCAGTTTCAGCCAGGCTGGGGACCAGAGTCCTTTAGGGAAGGCTGTCAGCCAGGGAGCCTGCCATCTGGTGCTCAGCCTGGGGCCACCGGGAGGCTCCCCATCCTAGGCTCCCTGCTCTAAGGGGTGACTTGACTAATGCCCAAATTGGCCTTGCTCTCCAACCTCAGGCCCCTGCAGTGACAGAGATGGTGGCTGTGTGGTCCCACTAGCCTGGGAGGAGCCGCCTTTCCCAAACCTTGGGTTTTTGTGGTACCATGGGATGAAACATCTGCCCAGCATGCCTGTCGCAGGCCCAGCTGATGGGGGCCGGGCCCCAGCTCCCAGAGCTGCTGTCCTTGTCACAACAGCTTCCTGCCTGTGTCATCAGTGAGAGGGAGCCGGTATGCCCTGGGCCATCCCAGGCCTTCCCAGTGGACACACTCCTGCCTTCCCCTGGTCAGTGTGGAAGGAAGAAACTGTAGCCACCATTCACCACAGCCTCCATCTGCCTACGGCCCTGCCCTGCGCTGTGGCAGGCTCCACACACCCAGGACAGAGCAGCCAGTGGGTATCTTACATTTGTGCCCATGCACCTCAGGGGATAAGCTGAGAGCTTGGCACACATTAGAGCTCAGCATAGCCTTCAAGGGGGCACAGGAGGGGCAGTTGGGACCCAAGCGCCCCGGAGTGGCTCAGCGAGTCTGACCATCAAGGACGCTCGTCCTCGCGGCCGAGTGGAGGGTTACACAGCACCTCCCCCGCTCACTGCACATCTTCCGGGAACCTTGGGATGTGACCTTACTGGAAACAGGGTCTTTGTAGACAGAACTGAAGTAAAGGAGATGATGTGATCATCCTGGACTCTGGTCCTCAATCCAGATGGCAGAGAAGACAGAGTCAGGGAGGCTACACAGTCATGGAGACGGGATTCGTGGACACTGCCCATAGAGCCCAGGAGCACTGGACGGGACACAGTTCTCCCTGGAGTCTCCTTCCCTGGCCAGGCAGCCGCCAGCACCGCCGTCCTCCCTCTTCCCGTCCTCTGTCTCCCTGGGTCCCTGTGACTTTGTATCACCTGTTGAGTCCCAAGCCAGGTAGCCCAGGCCCATAGGACTTCAGCTCCCCACGCTGGTCTTCTCTCTACCCCAGATCCCTGCAATAGCCACCGTGACACAGTCTCCCTCAGGCCCTTCCACCACGGCGTTCCTGCCTCAGCCAGCTGACCACGGACTGAACACTCCGAAGCTATGAGCCGAATGGAGCCGTTTCCTCTGACATCACCCCTGTCTCGGTGTCTCCGAGCCAGGAAAGCGGACCAATGCTGGGTTCCAGGAGGACTCAGTTTGCCTCCTCCCAGCAGCCCTCCAGGATGCCGCCACCTGCCTGGGATGGAGACTTCCTTGCTCTCCTGGCTGGCTGGGAGCTCCTGGAGGCCAGACTTTAATGTCATTCATTCCTCATTCATTTGTGCACCCAGTGCACTCATTTATGTGACAGTAACTTAAATTCACCTGCCCGTAGGGTACCGTACACATCAAGGCCACCGCTTCCTTCTGCTCCTCCTTACCCCTCCTTTCTCCCACCAGCAGCATTAAACATCCTCCAGTGCTGGCCCCTTCTCACCTCTACTCTGTTTGTGCATTGAGGCCCCAGCTCCAAAGCACCCGGTCCAGGATGCTGAGCTTTCCCCCAGCCTCCCAGTCCCTTCTTGCTCCTGGGTGTGACCCCTGCACCCCTCGTGTGGGCCCAGCCCCCATAGCTGAGGCCATTGTAGCCTCCTCTCTGCCTAGTGCCCGGCTCAAAATAGGAACAGCAAGTTTTTGTTGATAACAAGTGAGGCCAGTTAGGGTCACTGGGCCAAGGGATTCCTTCAGGCCCTCTTCGCCTCCTCGCCTGAAAGGCAGGCGGGTCTCAGGTCTCAGGAGCCCCTCAGGCCCCACACCTGGGTGTGGCCCCAGGGCTGGGGAGCCAGACCCTGCGGTGTTCCGCTCTGCTGGCCGCCCTATCTTGGGCCATCTTGCCGCCCAGTGGCCACTCCTCCCAGCCTGGTATCTGGGGCCCTCATCTCCCGCAGCCCAGCCTCGGGGCTCACCCTGACTCTTTCCCCAGTGTGTCCGGGCTGAATTCCCTCCATGACCCCCCAGGCCGCCCGCCCCAACCTAGGCTCTGCCCACACCCCGTGCAGCTCTGAGGTCCTCAGGCCCCGCCCGCCTCCCCGCCCAGCAGCCTGAGCCCAGGAAGACCACCTCCTCCAGGAAGTCCCTGCCGTGGGCTGGCTTCGGGGACCAGAGAGCCAAGGCAGGGGCTGGGGCTAGGGCTGTGGCCGGGACAGAGGTGGCACCCTCCTGCCCACCTTGCGGCCGGCTTCGTTGTTGTGCAGGTTCATGAGCCGCCGCTCCCTGCGGTGTTCCGCTCTGCTGGCCGCCCTATCTTGGGCCATCTTGCCGCCCAGTGGCCACTCCTCCCAGCCTGGTATCTGGGGCCCTCATCTCCCGCAGCCCAGCCTCGGGGCTCACCCTGACTCTTTCCCCAGTGTGTCCGGGCTGAATTCCCTCCATGACCCCCCAGGCCGCCCGCCCCAACCTAGGCTCTGCCCACACCCCGTGCAGCTCTGAGGTCCTCAGGCCCCGCCCGCCTCCCCGCCCAGCAGCCTGAGCCCAGGAAGACCACCTCCTCCAGGAAGTCCCTGCCGTGGGCTGGCTTCGGGGACCAGAGAGCCAAGGCAGGGGCTGGGGCTAGGGCTGTGGCCGGGACAGAGGTGGCACCCTCCTGCCCACCTTGCGGCCGGCTTCGTTGTTGTGCAGGTTCATGAGCCGCCGCGCGTTCTTCTTGATCTCGCGGGCGTCCACGAAGCGGCGGGAGAAGTCGATGCCGTAGCGCACGTCAGCGGAGCAGCCTCCCCACTTCCAGCCCTCTGCCTGGTTGTAGTAGCCTTGCTTCTCCCGGTCGCAGCCACAGTTGCTCAGGTTGCCCTGGCTGCAGGCGGCCGTGACGGCGTGGGCCACTCCGGCCGCAGTGATGGCGTAGGTGAAGGCGGCCTCGCGGCTCCCTGTGGGTGGAGAAAGCAGGGTGTTGAGGCTCGAGGTGTGGGCTCCCTGCTCACCAAAGCCGGTTGATGTAACCCCTCCCCAGGCAATGGTAAGGGCAGCACCTGGCACACAGCAGCTGCTTAATGCATGCTGCGTCCCTCCCCAGGCCTGGCCTCCTGAGTATCTCCTCTCCTCCCAGTGCTGGGCTGGGGTCAGGGGGCCCTGGATTTCCCAGGCCTGGGCACTGTCCGACCTGCCTCCCTACCCAGCCACTGGCTCCTTCCAAGTGCAGCCTGGCGGGGCCTCCCCGCAGCACCTTCGCTGGCTCCCCTGTACTGGCAGAGCCCAGCCCTCAGCCCAGTGCCAGCTTCCTCTGCCCAATCTCTTCCTGGAACGATGGCACCATCCTGCTAGCTGCTGCCTGCATCTCCTTGTAGATTTCCTGGTCTTTTGGGCAGAAGTCGCATTTCCAGTGCCTCCTGCAGGCAGCCTTCCAGAGGCTGACTGTGAGCTCTGGGGCCCATCTCCAGCTGGGGGGTCCCAGGGATCCGGGGGCGAGGAGGCTTTGGTGAGAAGACCAGAGGCTGAGAAGGGTGCCCCTTCCTCTCCAGTGAGATGTAGGTACAGCATCCCCGCCTGCCCAGGCCTGCGCCACACAGCACCCAGCAGCCCGGGCCACACTTGTGGTGCACACCCCACAGAAGGCTGTCTCTATGCCTCTGCTCTATCTCTCATGGAGGAGCCCCGACCCCCGTGCTGCTGAGAGCTGCCTGGAGCCTCAACAGGACAGGGCAGGGTGCAGACGTGACAGGGAGAACTCAGTTAGGCTTGAACTTATGCCTCAGCTTCCCCCCGGTGCTGGCATGACAGGCATGCACCACCAAGCCTCCCTGAGTCTGGACTCTTGAGAAGCAGCTCGTGGAGCCAGGGTCACCACCGTCATCAGAGCTCCACTCCCATACCTGCGCCCTTCCTTAGATTCTCACAGACCCATGTAACCTGTGGACGAGGAAGTTCTGCTACCTGTCCCATTCCACAGATGAGGAGACCCGGACACAGATGGCCTGGAACCAGGCATGAGTGACTTAAGCAGGATTAGGACCCAGGCTGTGATTCAAAGCCCAGAAAGGCTAGGAAGGGGCTGAGGGCCTGGCCGTGGGTCCCTAAAAGCCACTGAGCCAGAAGCATGCTCTGTGACCTGGAGCAGGAGGGAACAAGGACAGGGTTGAGCTTTGGGCCTTGAGGGTACAGGGACCTGGCCAGCAGGCGAGCTCTAGGTGGAGGTCCCGGGGGGCTGGACTGACCTAGCAGGGTGGGGGTGTCAAAGCAAGGGCCTGGGGAAATCTGGAAAAGCCAGCTATCGGGAACATGCAGGAGGCCAGGGGAGCTGTCAAAAGTCCCCAGCAAAGACAGAGGTGACCGTCAACTTCTTCCCGCCCTCAGAGAGGCTGCAGGGTGGGTCCTGGGGTGCCCAGCCCCCATCCCGTCCCAAGCTCAGACTCAGTTACTCACTTGTCATCCTCCACCTGCCCCTCTTGCTAATTTCTTGCCCCTCCTGCCCTGAGGTGGGAGTGAACAAGACAGAAATTGTTTGGAGAGCATCAAGGAGAACACAGGGTCCACAAGAGGCACAGCCTCAGACTGGGAGGTTCAGGGCACCTGGCACCCCATGGTTCCCACACCAGTGAGGAGCTACTGCCCCATTTTACAGACAGGGTGAGGACTTCACAACCTGCCCCACAGTGTGGCTGGGTGTGGACAGGGTGGGCAGGGCAGGCTCCCTCCCAGAATTGTTCCTGGGCCCTGCTGGGGCTTCTGCTCCCCAGCCTGCTCCTTCTAAGGTGCTGATGGGAGAACACTAAGGTTTTTTGGGGGGTTGGGGGGTTGTGCTTTTTGTTTTGCTTTAGACAGGCTCTCCTTATATAGTCCAGGCTGGCGCTGAACTCACTGTGTAGTCCAGGTTGGCCTTGAACCCAAGGTGATCCTCCTGCCTCAGCCTCCCTAGTGCTGGGATTACAAATGTGCATCACCACGTCTGCCTATGAATACTTAGATTTGGAAGAACTGATCCTTTGTAGCAGATACAGATAGCCTGGGTCTGAGGACTTCACTCAACAGTCATCAATAGCTCCTAAGGCCTCTCAGAGTGACTTCCAGTGGCCCGGCCTGGTCCCCAGGGCTCTCAAGGCTTGACCCCTCTGTCCTCAGCCCCTACACCCTGCAGCTCAGAACAGCCACCGGTGGGTGGGTGCAGCCACTTGCAGCCCACAGTGATGACCTGTGGCAAAAGGAACCCCCAGCCTCTTCTGGCCCACCTTGGGGGACAGTGGTGTTCCCCGTCCACATTCCCCTGGATGCAGCTGGGACACCCCCTCCTCCAGAATGCCCACCTCTGGCAGGTGACCCTCGTCTGGGGTCCCAGGGCAGGCTCCACGTGGACTTCTCACCTCAACCCAGCAGGTCTGGGCTAGGTGCACTCCCAGCCCCTTACCATCCCCATGGCAACCCGAGAAACAGATGGTGTTAGCAGATCATTGCACAGGTGGGAACACTGAACCTCAAGGGTAGAGGGGACCGGCGCCAGGCCAGGCTTCTGTCAGCCAGCTCCGCAAGCCCCAGATGTGTTGTGTGTGTGGGGGGGTGCGTGGGCCAGCACAGGGGCATTCTAGAGATGGGTGTTACCACACACTGGCCACTGTACACCACAGTCCTTCTGAGCCCAGGGTGGGGTTCTGGGCCTCGAGGCCCCTGATACAGGGCCCCCTGTCTGTCTCTGGACCCCTGCAGGTGGGGGTCTGCACATTGTCTGGGGGTGTGGAGAGGGATTTTGGGGAACTCAGGTGGGGGGAAAGAGCGCCGGACTTGGGTCTCTCCTGCTGTGTGGCCTCAGCCTGCCACCATCGTCTCAGAGCTGGTGTCCATGCACCTGACGGCGCCGGCAGTTGTCACCTGCCCCAGGACCAAGAGACAGAGCTGAGAGCAAAGGAGACAAATGGCACTGTCCCTTGGCATCAAGACTCACAGGGCCAGGGCCAGCTGGGGAACTGGATGTGTGGCAACATCCAGGGCAGGCCAGACCGGAGACAACCTCCTGTAAGGCCACCCCGTTTTCCCTGCCACTGTCCCCCCAACATTCACATTCCACAGAAAGCTAGACATGAGGCAGTGGCATCCTGGGGTCACTGCCATGTGGGTGACAGGGCTGCAGGAGACCACTCAACCCAGCCCTTTGCCTAGGTTACTTAGACCCAGGCCCTCCCGGAGCCCACAGACCCTGGTGCCAAGGCAAGGATCCTGTCCCACCAGAGCTGGGCCTCGAGCTTCTGCACCCCAATGCACCCCCAGCCCCAGAGGTCCACCAGGACTGCAAGGACCTCCCTGAACAGCAAAGTGGTCAGGACAGGGCTCCCCTCCCCTCCCGGCCACCCCCTAGCCATTGCGCAAAGCTACCTGCTGCATCCTGGTATTGCAAGGGCTGCTCCATTATTCTAAGAGAGCACGAAAGGTGTAACTGAGCTCATAAGGATAACTGCACTGGGGAAGCCAGGCCCTTGGCACTCCTTAGAAGGGTGGCCAGGACCGGGGAAATTCCAGGCTGGGAAGGGCCTGGGGGATGGCCTGGTGTGGCTCCTACTCCCCAGCAAGGGGCCCAAGGGCCAGAGAAGCAAAGCAGAGTCCAGGTCACCTAGCAGCTCTAGAAATGGGGGTGTAGGGCCTGGCATGCTAAGGTGACCCAGGGAGGACAACTCTGGAGCCACACAGGGCCCCGGAGTCCTCCTGGAACCAAGAGACCCAGGGCAGTCAGGGGGCTCAGAGTCTGACCCTTGAGCTCAAACCACATGCTAAGATGGGAGACTCAGTGACCCAGAGGCGGCTGGCCCAGCCTCAGCTCCCACGGTGACACATGGGTCTTCATGAGGTACCCCGATTGTGCACCTGGCTTTGCTCAAGCAGCTGTGTGTGTCTCTACGCTGCGGCTGACAGCTCAGCCGCCCCTTTGCCAACCTGGATGCACCCCCACTTAAAAGAAAATATGACCTTCTCTGTGACTTGATTAAAAAAAAAAAAAAAAAAAAAGCAACAACCCCAATTAAAAGGGTAAAAAAAAAAAAAAAAAAAAAAAAAAAGCAAACAGCCCAATTGAAATGGGCAAAGGGCCTGCACAGACATTTCTCCAAAAAAGACATCATTATCCGTCAAGGCCACGCAGCTCAAGACCACGGAGACCGGCTTCCTTCCCACTCACTCAGGATGGCGAAAGTGACAGACCAACGACAGCAAGTGTCAGGGAGCACTCTGAGGGATCGGGCCCCACACACTGCTGGTGGGGTGTGGAAGGTGCCGGCACTGTTGGGGAGCTCAGTGCTTCTCCAGCATAGACCTAGGGCCATCACGGCCCCCAGCAATCTACCCCTAGGGATAAGCCTGAGAAAGTGAAAGCATACGTCACACAAAGCCTTGCACACAGACGTTCACAGTGTATTGCTAACCAGCGGGTGTGTGGACAAGAAAAGTCTCCATACTGTGGAACACTGTTCTGCCTTAAAACAGGAAGGTGAGATTGACACAGAGGCTTTGAAACCATCGCGGAGTGTAAAAGAAGCCAAACACAAAAGGCCACATCCTGTCTGATTCCACCGGCATGAAAAGCTCATACTTCTTTTCTTCCTTCTTTTCTTCCCTCCCTCCCTCCCTCTCTTCCTTTCTGTGGTGCTGGTGACCAAACCCAGGGCCTTCAAAATGAGCTACATCCCAGCCCTTTCTTGATTTTTTTTTTTAATTTTGAGGCAGGGTCTCTCTTGATACTTCAGTAGGCTGGGCTACAACTTGCTGTCCTCCTGACTCAGCCTCGCAGAATGCGGGGATTACAGATGTGCACCCGCTCTGGCAGGTGGATTTCAAGTTAGCCTCCAACCTCGGCAACTTAGAAACTTAGCAAGGCCCTGTCTCAAAAAAAAAAAAAAAAAAAAAAAAAAGGCCCCAGAATGCAGTTGAGTGCAATGGCCCTGTGCTCAGTCTC